GAGTTAAAACACAACATATAATAAGAGACAGATATCGCGAGAGGGGGGCTATGGTTACTGGAAGAATATTTCTTTTCTTTCAATAAACACAATCCTCGGTTATAAACTGTAGATTGTATAATCGATTTTTGAGATCCTCCGTCTGGGGAAGCCAAGGGACCAAGGCAGAGCTGAACCTCTAAGAACTTAAGGCCCTAAGTGGTAATTATGTAGATGGTCTCAGTAGGTATGGAAAATATTCAATGACGGAATGAACAGGCTGTTCAACCGCATCATTTTCTTACCCTACCTACCTTGAGCTAAGGCCCGAAGTCTCTGATATCCAAAGGCTAGGCGACACTGGCCTAGACTGGGGATCGCTTTGTGGTGGTTGCAAGGCCCCGGCCCGATATTAGGGTGACCCAGCGTTTTGGGATCATCCCGTCAACGAGGAAGCCGCTGTGGGGCTACGTGTAGGCCTGTAGGGAAACGAAGAGCTGAAATGAGCAAGTCAAAGATGTGGAAAGCTAAATGAGACTGAGCAGCTTCTATGGAAATCACTTCGGTAGCAACAAGGCCAGTGCATTTATTCGATATATTCCCAAACTCAAAGTTGGTATGCGGGAAGCATCGCATCCACTAACAGATGTAGTTTCCTGAAGAAGGCTCCATGCCACGCGATTGTTGGTCCCGCAAGCGACTGGAGCCGTCTATCAATGGCATCATGCATCATGTAACTTGTATATGCATGGGGAAGCCAGAACGGCATCTGGGCCGTTTTATATGCAGGCTTCTGTACGCTGCCTACTACGTAGTAGTACCTCCTGACCGTCCAGCCGTGACACAGTCCCAAGCTCCAGGGCTGATGTGATGCTTGTCCGGAGGTGACCCAGAGCAATGATTGTTTCTCTTTTCTGGCGAGTTTTACGTTCAATCTTCAGGACCTGCTGGGATCGGGCCTGTCTTATTTATCAATGATACGAGGCGTTTCCCCCCAAAGTCTCAGGGCGTCAATGGCTCAAAGGCTAATGAACGGCAATTACATGTCGATCATGTTGGGTTGGAGAAGGTCTTTTGCCTTTTGGGGCGATACAGATCTGCAACCATCACAGGTGGTTGGCCCAGCCCTGTCCGTGGATTGCTTACCCTCACGTCCAGTTCCACCCACGACTGAGTTTGCTGACCAGCCAGCAAAAGACACTTTTCACGAGAGATAATGTGAGTAATCCGAGGCACAATTGACTTCCTGTAACCTGCGGCACGACAAACTATTCGCCACCGACCCCGTTCTCCATCAATGTGGGGAGTTCACGACAGGGGAAGAGAGCGACCGAGAAGCACATGGCATGTAGGGCGACTGGATAAGGCGCAGTTCACGGCTAGGAAATGAGGGGACTTGAGAAACCGATTTCAGGAGGGATTGGGAGGGGAAAAGAGGGGAAGATCAAGCCTTTTTCTAAGATAGCGAGACCGCTTCTTTGCAATTCAGACTTGGCAAGGCAAAGCCAGTTCATCCTCCAATCTTTGTAACAGTCTGAGGTGGAGGATCCATAAGCCTTGATGGACGCGTTAAGTCATCGCCAGTAGAATTCAACAAACCTAAGAACCGCCCACAAAAATATGATTGAAAGATTCTGGCAGAGAAGCAGTCGTTGATCGAAACCGATCATTGTTATTAGGGCCGTGGCACAAGCAGACCCTGCCAAGTCAGTCGCCCACCTCAGAATCAGAACGGCGCGCGGGTGATCTGGAATCGTACAGTACAGTGCGCAAGCGACCCTGGGTGGTCGGATCGTGAGAGGGAAATGAGAGGATCAGAGGTTGGAAAACAATAGGAGACCTGGAGAAACAACGAAGGGAAACCAAGCAACATGTATTCCTCCAGAGCCTAGCACATGGCCCGTATCGATAGATCTTTTTCTAAACAAAACATCGTTAGTTAAATTTTCGTGGTTTCGCTGGTCAGACTCAATCAAATCCTTGGTCCCATCTTGAAGATGAACGGCAGACATGCGCCACTCAGGAACCACGGCTTGACCAGATAAGCGTGTGAATAAGAGTTTGAAGCCAAATGAAATAAGATACACAGATTGACAATAACTTTGAATGGGAGCAACAAAATTGGAGCATATTTGAGCGGAGAAAATTTCGTTAATCAAAGCCCCCGAAGTGAGAGCTCAAGTGAGGTCGCAAGCCCAGGCACAGCACAGGCTGGTTGTTGGCGGTACGGAGAAAGGCAAGGCAAGGTAAGGTAAGGTATTTCACATATCTACCCCCCTTCCCCCGTTCCTTCTTGCTGCCCATTTCCCGCCTGTTTTCCCCTCTCAAACCTTTTGTACCTCTTCTTCTTGACTCCTTCACTTTTAAAACCTCTCTTTTCGACGTGTGTTGCTGTCGTACGCACGCCTGTCTTTTGGTCTGCTCACTTATACAGACGCGGAGCCATCTCCAAATTGTCGGGTGGTTTTCAGGGCACCCCAAGCCGCTGGGCTGGGCTGTAAGTGGGATGACAGTTCGCTCGATTGCAAATTGATTTTCAGACACGACACGCTCACCAATTCGGCGAAAACAAGCATGATTTGACCAAACAAACCAAAAACAAATGGATTTCACGAAAAATCGTGACAACCTTCACCGGCACCTCAAAGACAGCCCAGAACGAACTTGAGACGGCGCTGGCTGTTCTGGCCATGACGGCCTGCCTGACAAGGATCCATCCACTGGCATCCACTCGGGAAGCGCCAGTGGTGGGTGAGCCCGCATCAGGCGCCACCGCAGACAATCCCCGGACTCAAAGCCGATAGCTCTGTGTCTGCGCCTCTTCCAAGGAGAAACAAGCAAAGACAAGTCCATGTTTCTCTGACCCGAAAGAATGGTTATGGAGCATGCTGGCTGTTAATTTGGGAGCACCTGCGCAGTTGCTGCTCCGAGGGGTTTGTCCTATTCCTGGTGGCGAATGGACCTTTTCTCTGTATGGGTCTGCCTTTGCGGTATGGCCGTGGAGGGTCACCCCAATGGAAAGCTATCCCAGCAGTCCCGGCCATTGCTATGGACACAGGGGCCAAAAAGCCATGCGTACCAGCACAGTCAGCTACCCCTATCGATTGTGATTGACTTCATTCTCAATGAGACAGTGCCTGCACAAGTGTGTTAAGGCAGTGTTGGTCTCCAACAAATCGTTACATTGTGTATTTGGCCCGAAACTGTGCGACGCATATGCTACATGCACGCGCGGATTACGTCCACTGAGATACGTGGATAAATACAGGAGCAGATTGCTGGACGATTTGCACATGGGGCGTACTACTTTGACAGCACTGACATACTCTTCGAGCTTGGGTGTCAGAGTGTCTGCAGTTGCGGCAATGGTTCAGCGTTCTCCGGTGCTTACACTACGAGCTTGGAAGCCTTCCGCCAACCTCTTTCGATATCGACCTGAAGGTCTGTAGCAATTGAGCGTATCAACTGGACAGAGCAACCCGGTTGCATCAAAAACAGTCGGACCGGAGACAAGATAATGGCAAAACTTTCGTCATGGCGTTTCTAGGCTAGCTTCAATATCGCTAGAAGTCAATAGCCAATCCATGCAGCCATGGACTGAGCTTCATTGATGACTGGCAGAAGCAGTCCCATGGAGCCATGGGGCACCTTGACCGAAAGCCTTTTGTTCGTCTGTCAGGCGCTTGTTGTCACATGCAACATCGCCAGGAATGCCGCTTCCCAGTTCGATGGAATAATGGGATAGCAATATGATAACAGACTCGGGCCCGCTGTTAGAAGCTTCTGCTACTTGTCATGGTAATCTTATCTGATACTGAGCTAACCTTAGTCTCTCACTAACGCAAATAGCTGATTCGTCTAGGTGCGCACAAGTGGCTTGACCTCGAAATTGCGCTATACCAGGAACAGTCAAGCACCACGCGCTGCAAAACAGACTCAGCCTCCCCCCGACTCTCAGAGATGTCTTCGCCGTTCGCTGAAACCCAGGCCAATCCATTCAGACCTGACCCGACTCGACGAGCATCCATTGCAGTTTATCGCAAACGCACTGCAAACGCGCCCTCACTCTTTGGCTAGGTAAGGCTATCTGTTTTCTATGGAATCTCAACATCATTTCATGCATCACAAGAATCTCCGTTCCAAGTGGACGATGGAATGCGATGGATAGAGTTGTACGCTGTCGCTTCTCCTCGCTTCGCTTCACTTTTGCCTACCTATTTGCACCCACTATTTCTCTTGTCTTCCCTCCCCGTTGGTCACTCAACGAGCGCCAGGTTTCATTGGCTAGTCGAAGTCGCCTGCGCTTGGTTTGGTCTCAGTGTGCTGCGCGTCCTTGCCCTCCCGAGCACCACCTCCCTGGCAGCCCATGGTCCTGGTGCTGCTACTCCGTACTGCTGACGGAGACCCGCCCAGCGAAAAAAATTCTCCCTCACTGGCTGGCTCAGCTCCCCCATCACCCTTCTCTCCACTGTTGGCGGCGTCGCTTGCTGGGTTGCCTGCTGAAAAGGTGGCTGCTAGCCTGCTACAGTGCTGTCCAGTCCGTTGTCCGCTGCCCGTTTGCCCTCTTGCTCCCGTCGCGCGGCTTTCGCTTTCTCCCTCTACCTTTCCATCCATTCTCACCCGACCCGTCATTCCCATCTATCATCTGCCGCTTGATTGAAGCGCGTCGCCCAGCACCTACCACCGTGCCAACCAATCCAATCTGGGCGTTTTTTTATTTCCCACTTTCCTGTCCCCTTTGCCTATGCCCATTCCCAGTACTGGCAGGCTGACACAAGGTCTTCTCGCTGGTCTGGTTCTGGTTCGGTCTGGTCTCTCGCACTACACTGCTCTCCACCAAACCCACGCCGCGACGCGACTTGTCCCATCACCACCGTGTCACTGCCTCATCTCCCACTCATCGCTTCCTATCTCAGCCTTCCGTCATTGTATCCTCGTCTTCTTGGCGCTCCTCCATGGACGCTTTTCGCGTGCCTGCTGATCGCTAACTCCGTCGCGCATAGCCTGTTGGGTCGATCGCCATGAGCACCTGGATGAACGACGCCGTCCCCAACCACAATGGCAACGGCTTTCCACACATGAACGACTCTAACGCTGCCGGTAACATGATGGATCCTTCCGCTTTCATGGCCAATCCGGGCCAATTCAATCCTGCTCAGTTTAATCAGCAAATGGGCGGCGCTATGGCTAATGGCCCTGGCTCCATGCGCAATGCTTCACCTTCTTTTCAGAATCCTGTATATCAGACCAATTCCGTTATTCCATCGAAGCGGCCTCGCCCTCGTGAGGATAGTCTCGCCGGCTCTCCTAGCCAAAATCCCGGGATGCTCCCAACGTCGCGCTCTGAGACGCCGCAGCAACAACCATTTGCTGGAGGCTTTCAACCCGGCGCGGTTCAGCAAAACCCTGGCCAGTTTTCTCATCTTCAACCTAATGGTTCCGCCAATGCCAGCCCCTCCCCGATAATGAGCAACCAAATGCGACCAGGAAGTGTTCCTCAACGGGTCGCGACCGCGTCACCACACCCATTCTCTCCCAGTGGCCAGCAATTCAACCCTCAGACATCACCGATACCGTCCGAACATGGCACTCCTCAGCCGAACCCCTATATGCAAAATATGGCTCAAGGTTTCAACCCAAACTTTGCTTCATCACCTGCGAACGCGCGACCTTCACCGAATCCGAATGCGATGTCCGGCAACCAAATGATGGCACAGCAGATGGGTCAAATGCCGCAACACATGGGCCAGATGCAAGGCAATATGTTTCCCCCTCAAATGCAACAGGGTCAGCAACAACAAGGCACACCACAACAGCAAGGCCAGCAGCAACAAGGGCAACAAACCCCTCAACGCCCGGGCATGATGGACGCGCAGAAGATGGCCGCCTACCAGATGAGATTGCAACAACAACTGCAAGGCAATACTCAAATTCAAGCACAGATGCAGGCGCAAAACATGGGCCGCGGTATGATGCCTAATAAGCCGGTACCTGGAATGCCTAATGGCCAAATGCAACAAGGAGGCATGAGGCCTCAGCAGAGGATGATGGCTAACGTGAATCCTGAACAATTTATGAAGAATCTTACGACCCTAATGAATTCAAAAGGCTTGCAATTGGATCCTAATCCCATGGTGATGGACCGACCGGTTAATCTCATGGTGCTGTTTCAAGCGGTTCAGAATAAGGGAGGATACAAGCAGGCAACTACGACCCCTAACGGCTGGCCCCATGTTGCTCAGATGCTTGGCCTGCCACCCCAGAATCCTATCGTTCCGCAGACGTTGAAGACGATCTATGAACGCAACCTTTATAAGTTTGAGGAAGTGTGGATCGCTCAACAGCAGAAGCAAAGGATGATGCAACAGCAACAGCAACAGCAACAGCAACAGCAACAGCAATCACAGCAACAGTCCCAACAGCAACCACAACAGCCACAAACTCCAGGCACCCTCATGGGACAAGCTACTCCACAGAAGCAGATGCAACCGGGACAACAAATGACCCCTGGAACCATGGGTCAATCTGGACCGCCAGCTCAAATGCAACAAACTCCCATGAAGCAAATGCAACCAGGACAGCCTCCAGTGAACGGATTTTCCACACCCCAGCCTCAGATGCAGCCACAGCCTCCAGTAATACCAGGCCAAAATCGCACACTATCACAAACGATTGACACTTCTGCTGTGCCAGAGTTCCCGGGCGCTCCCTCTCCAGCAACCCGCAGGGCTGGAAGCATGTCGCACAATGAAGGGCGTCAGGCCTCGGCGGCACCTGTGGCTGTGGAGAAAATGCCTCGGCTTGCACCTCAAACTGACGAGTACAGCCCTTGCGCCCGGGAGCTTTCAACGTTTGGCGGTGTTGACTTGAATGCGTTCAGCAAACTAGGTGCGGAACTCGAACGCTGGAAACCCGATGTACCTCCTCTTCAGGAACTGGGGAACATCGATATCGGTGCTCTTACTAAGAGTTTGCAAAGCGGGATTCATGGCGAGACGCGCCTAGCCCTCGATGTGTTGGCAGCTGCATCGTGCTCCATGAACCAATTGCATTTTATTCAGCTTCGGTACTGTGACGAGCTAATAGAGGCTCTCATCGAATGTGCCGAGGATCAAGTGGAGATGCTGGCTGAGCATACAGCCGAAGTCTCCGATGAGATTCAAATATCACCATACGAAGACGTCTTGAGGGCCTGCCGTCTTGAGCGGTTTAATATCCGGGATTTGCCTGTGTTTGGCACCCAAGAGTACGAGCTCGACCGGGCTGTTGACCGTCTAATATGCGTCACAACTATTCTTCGAAACCTGTCGTTCCCTGGCGAACAGAACGATAATCATTCTGTACTTGCCGACGAGATTGTTATCAAATTTGTCTGTGCTGTCATAAGATACCTCGGTACCCGAACTATGCTTCTTCGATCACACAACAATACTCTCGATTTCATGAAAGATATTGTAATTTTACTCTCCAATATTGCAGGGTCTGTAGAGATACCTGGTCGCGAACAGGCTCTCTGCCTCTTGCAGTTTCTCCTGGCATTTGCCCCCGCTCCCAATCCTACAGTCTCAGACGGAACATTATTCTTTACGCAATACGAACCAAGCTTGCACGCCTACCTGCCACATGCTGTCGATGCACTTGCGAAATTACTAGCTCGTGATGAACCCAATCGGAGTCATTACAAAGCTGTCTTCGTACTCGACTCGAGCAGCAACCCTCCTTATGAGTTGCTTACTCGTGCCTTCGGTTTGGCCATAGCACCCATACCGGACAAGGCCAAGACACAGACGAGACAACCTAACCTCCCATCCCTCGTGGAAGTTCGAAAGCCTTTCTTGATGCAAGGGCTTCTTTCTGCTGAAATCTTGGCTTCACTTGCTCCGGGTCACGACAGCGGAGTTGCCCAATCTTGGCTATCATCTGGCAATGATTTCGCCCAGAATCTATTCAGGCTTATCCGAGAGCTCAGTCAACTGTACGAGCAACCCCAAGTTCAAGGTCCCCGAACAGCACCCCGAAAAGACCCTGAGCTGGTGTATATCGTTGTTGTTGCCGTTGCTCTATTAAGACGACTTGCTGAGAAGGCCAGAGATCCCAACGATCCAACGTCATCCATACCCGCCAAAGCTATGCCGGCACCTCATGCTTTGCTTGAAGCGTTGTCAATGCAATCTGCTGAATGGTCAAAGGATGAAGTACTGCAGAAGCTTTCAACATTTTTTGCTCTAGGGAGGTGATAGTCGCATTGGGATTTTATTTTTGGATCAAACTCTATAGCATTACCTCATCTTCAAGCTTGTATGTTAGTGTTTTGAGAAACATGGGATTGGTGTCTTGTCATTTGAAGCGTGCGCTTCTCGTTTAGACTTGCATTCCGGAGTCGATGGTTTGGGGACAAGACAGGTGATGATGAAACTGCTTGTCTATGTACGTGTATAAAGGAAGTTGGGATGGTGAACAAATTCAGACATTAGGGACAAACAAAAATATGCTTCTAAGATGCGCTCGCATTACTACATGTATTGTACATCTTGTGTCGCCCCTGGTGGTGACTGGTCAATATGATACAGTTTTGATTCCTCTTATATGTTTGGTCAAGGCTAAGACCTGGGTAATCCGTTTATATCACTCGTGGCCGGCTCTTCAGAAGCCAGTCTTCAGGATCCACTCAACTGCTTTATCGTAGACATGACCCTGGAATAATTAGTTGTCTGTCGGGAGCTCCAATGTCAGAATTGCTTACCTTGATCTCCACGTGTTGTGTTGTAGGGTTTAATCGAATATCCACTGGTTTAATCTCCAAATCCCTAGCCAAATCCTGGATAAACTTGGAGCGGTCTCCATCAATCTTTTTAATGATAACGATCATGCGGTTGCCACCAGACATCCACTTGCGGTATACAGGTAGTTGGGAGGATGGCGTCCGTCGAACAACGTAGCGAAGGGTCGCGCCGAGCTTGTCGAGGTTTTTGATTGCTGCTGGAGGGACGAATGGTTGCTTGAGTTGACGATCCTTGTATGGAATCTTGTTCTTCCTATTGGGGTTGATGGGGTGTCGGAGAGGGTTGGGCTTGTATGAGACGTGTGTTTTGAAGGTGTTCGCTGAAGATGGGGTGGCCGCGGAGTAAGACGCTCGTTGCGTCAAGAGTGCTGGCTTCTGGGCAATGGCCTGGCGTCCTATTGATAGGACTCTAGAGGTAAGGAATTTCATCGTGTGATCGAGTATTGTAGGGAGGTTGTAGGATAGAGCTGTTTTCCGTCGCAAGGTTCTTCGCTTTGGCGATACCGCGGAACGAAAGACCCGGAAGAGATATGCAGCGTAATGCCCAAAATGCAGTCTCAATTGATTTCGCTCATTAGCTCTTGGACATGTCACACACTCTCTGTCTATCGATGCACTCTAAACATGCCAGAAAGCTTGCCGCTGATGGAAAATCTCAAGATCACATGACTGCTTATCTCTGATCGTCGGTAAATCCACGGTCGGTGCGATAAGCTGAACCCCCACACCACGGAGTGGATTGGCGAAATTCACCAAAAATCTGAGGTGTTCGTGCCCCTCCATCAAACCCATCATCACGACCTTTGCGGCGAGTCACTTTTCCGCCCTCTCCGACCGAACCCTCGTCCGACCGATCTCTACCGCCTCCTTCTTCTCAAAGATATCGCCCAATATGGAGGACGTTCTCAACGCCGTCTCGGCCGACGGTTCATCGATCATGCCCCGCCTTGCGCCGCACCTGAGCCGACATCTTCTCTTTCCTCTGATCCAGTTCGAAAGTGAGAGAGCTGAGGAGCAGGGCCAGGATGCCAAGGCAAAGGAGATTCTTTCCGGAAAGATTAAGCTTCTCGTGGACACAAACATGACCGATTACGTTGCGACTCTCTACTGCGAGCTCCACGGTGTATCAGAGGCTCCCGAGCAGTATAACAAGAAGAGACAGGATGTGCTTTCACAGCTGGAGAACTACGAGCAAGCCACCGCTAAGATCGCCGATCTCCTGACCCAGGATGAGGTCGTCAACGGACTCCGAAGTGACAAGGTTGCCAACTTGGAGTTCCTCAAGAACCAACACGGAGTAAGTAGCCTGAGAGCTCTCCACTCACCAAGGTCAAAGATATCTAACAGGCTTTTCACCAGGTCACCATGGAAATGGTCAATGCTCTTTACGACTTTGGTCAATTTCAGTTCCGATGCGGCCAATACGGTCCCGCTGCCGATATGCTCTACCAATTCCGAGTCCTGTCCACCGACAACGATAAGGTCTCTGCTGCCACCTGGGGCAAGCTTGCCTCCGAGATCCTCCAGACCAACTGGGAGTCTGCTGTCGATGAACTCAAGAACGTTAGGGAAAACATTGATTCCAAGCTCTTCAACAACCCCCGTGCCCAACTCGACCACCGAACGATGTTGCTCCACTGGTCTCTCTTCCCCCTCTTCAACTGGGAGGGTGCTCGGGAACCTATCTTGGATATGTTCTTTTCCGCACCTTACATCAACACCATCCAGACCTCTTGCCCCTGGATCCTGCGATACCTGATCGCCGCCGTTATCACCGGTCGTGGCCGTGCTCGCAACAGCTCCATCCAACAAAAGCAGATCAAGGACATTATCCGTTATGTCCGACAGGAAGCTTATGAGTACACCGACCCTATCACACAGTTTGTCAACGCCCTCTACATCGCCCACGACTTTGAGGCTGCCCGTGAGGCCCTCTCCATGGCCGCTGAGGTCTGCCGCAGCGACTTCTTCCTTGCTTCCTCCGCCGATGCCTTTGTCGATGCTGCCCGACACCTCATCTGTGAGAGCTACTGCAAGATCTTCAGCCGAATGAACATCCGCGACCTCAGTGCCAAGCTCGGTCTGAACCCCGACGATGGTGAGAAGTGGATTGTTAACCTGATCCGTGAGACTCGATTGGACGCCAAGATCGACAGTAAAGATGGCACCGTTGTGATGAACCACCCTCCTAACAACGTCTACCAGCAAGTTATTGAGAAGACTAAGGGTGGTTTCTTCAGGACACAGGTCCTCAACGCTGCCGTTTCAAAGTAGAGACCATAGCTAGTCGCGAATGATCTTTTTATATGAGTGTTTCCTTTTTTGCAACGGCCCAAAAGGGGCGATGCAATTCAAAGCGAGGGGCAAGATACCTCGACCAGAGGGTTGCGCCCTCCGCTACCTGGAGAAACAAGACGCGGCCCCTTTAGTTTAGAAAGAGGCCGGTCTTTGCAGAGGATGAGCAGGATTCAGCAAAGCATAAGACGGGGAGACAAAGATAGAGCAGCGAGGCAAAAATGTCAAACACGGGCCAAATGGAAGAAGCGGCGGTTTTAGAGGCCCTGTATATCCCCGGTGATGCGATTTGCATTGCATGGCGTTCTCGGAAAAGGGAAGAGGCAAGGGGGATAATGGAATTTAAGTTGATTGTTGAAATGAAAGCAAGCACTCCCATCAGCTGGGACGTATTATTTCTGTGAAGATTTTCATATATGGTCTAAAGCCATGAAGCCCTCCTTATACGAGCTAGACTTTTGTCTATCCTTATTCTCGTCGCTCATAACCACATCTGTTGTTTTCCTCTACAATGCGCTGTCCACAGCATACGCGTTCATAACTATGCTGTACGTGCGTGCTACCTCACTACAGCCAGTTGTCAATGCTCGCCTTCACGACTTGCAAGCCATACCATGCCCTTCAGGTTCTCGATGACACTGTCTCGCATCCACCAAACACCCCCATCTTCCACTGTCGCATCTTGGTCGTCTTCCCTTTCGGCTTCACGACGTACGTGTGACTCTGTGATGGTCTCTTGACTATCGAACATGTTGGTGTCTCGTAGTCGATCACGTATAGAAGCCCATTCGAACAGCAACCTGGCTCCCTCCAGACGCTCCCGATCTGTGCCTTCTGCAATGCCCTTTGCCATCTCCAGTCTTGCATCGACAGCACTGCTTGAGTGCTGAGTGTCATCACCTCGCTCTAGCACTACGGCTCGCTCGGCGTAACTAATACCACGCAGACCCTCAAGTCCAAAGACCCATTCCAGAGGGTCTTTACCCTTCTCGTCCCTACCAAGTGCCCGGAGAGTTGAAGCAAACGCTCCTTCACGCGGTGGGCGCCTACGGAGGTACAAGCTTTGGGTGTCTTGGAAAGCAGCTCTAACCTCTGGGTTAGAGAAGTCAAGCTCCACATCCCAGAACTGGGGTCCACATGTGGTCGATAGACTAGCAATCTGGTTTATTGGTGGAAGGATGCAAGGAGCCGTGCGATTCAGAACCGGCTCAGTAGAGGTGTTTTTGCGCATCCTGATTTGGACAGGAACAGTGATTGGCTGGCCAGTGAGAACATCTTTTGTGACCAGGCATCGCTGCTCTGTAGCTAGAACCCAGAAATGGCGAAGAGCTTGGAGATGGGATCGATTGTCCATAACACTCGTAGGGAAAATGGGGTAAAAAGCAACCAATAGTGAAGCAATAGCGAGGTTGCTGGTGCCAAAAGTTGACGTTCCGCATCCCAAGAACAAAGCGCCAATCGCGAGATGAGCCGCAAGATGAGAACCGTAGGGCGTCTCAGGATCATCACGACCATGAAGTGCACGAAGACGACGTAGAACAGGAATATCACCTGTTCCAGCCATGACAATGGATGCAGATATGGCAACGATGTCTTGGCACATGCGTGCGTTGGTCCGTGTTAGTTCTTCATCATATGGTGGATTGCCATTTGGATGCATGTTTGCAGTGGATGGTATCTGTGCAATACGCATGAACTGATCCAAGTAATAGAGTAGAAGATCCCGAACTTTAGGAGATGCGCTACCAGAGAAGCGCAGTGCAATAGAGAAGCAGAGACCAGCCACTATGCTGTGGAATGCCATATCCGTTGACTGAAGTTTTGTCGTTGACTGTAGCTTGAACTGGGAACGATAAGGACGTGGTAGGTTCTTACGAATCCAAGCAAACGTCGGCTCAATCTTGGACCACATGATTAGATTTTTCGTCAAGGTCCGCAAGAGAAGAATATCAGGACGAATGTAGTCAAATTGCAAGACTGAGTTGGGTATGTCGATCTTACGCGCCACGATCTGATCTTCCGACTTCATGTAAATGAGAGCCAGGGCCATGACGGCGCCAGCAGCTGCTCGGTCCAGAATATGAACTATTTCAATGTTTTTGGTTGTTGTAGCATGAGAAATGAGTTTCTCTGTGAGTCTCATGTCATGCAGTCCCTTAAGATCATTGCCTTTGCCTAAGTTGATGAACCCGAGAGCAAATCCAGCTGCCAACCGGTAGCATTCGCTTCTCAGGGGCTCTTCTTCATCCTCTTCGTCAATATGCTCAATCTCAGAGAGCATAATCTCACTCATTCGCCGATGTTGACTGTTGGCATATAGCAAACCGATGCCCATTATACCCGAAGTCTGCGTTAGAGGGGACAGATTCAATTCTGCGGCTCCACGAGGCAGCATCCTCGTGGCATGAACGGAAAGTAGACGAGTAATCAACGAATCCATTGTACCCATGTAAGATGCTGCCAAACCCAGAAGTAACCCGATGGAGGTCATTGTATGTTTTGGCGTCAGATATTTGAACGCAACCCATTTTGCGACGTCTTTCAGATGGCCGTTCAGGCCAAGAGCAAGGAGAAACCCAGCATGCCGATTGTTGAGGTCTTGGCCAGGTTTGTTGTAAAGAATCCATGATGTGTCGATACCTTGGGCCTCGGGAGAAATGGCTAACCCAGCTGCGACGCCCTGGTGAAAGAAGCCCCAACAAACCTTCTCTTCTGAGAACTGTGATTTGTCTACGCCCACCGTGGTGTTTGTTGGTTTTACAATGCAATTGAGATTAAATCCACCGATATGAAATTTCTGCGTGATCAAAGGGTAGCGAAGACTGTAGTACAGCAAAGCCCGGCCCGCAGGGATTGCCAAAGTGCCTGTTGCAATTCTTGTTACGAGCTCCTTTTGCTTCTCAAGATATTCGCTCTCGGGCCAACTTGGGTGGGGATCGAGTCGAACCAGCCTTGCCTTGTGAGTGGAAAGTAAATCTTGAGCTTCGTTAAGGCGGCGATCTTCTTTGAACAAGGAGCGAATAATGGCTTGACGTTCCGTTCCTTCACCTTCGTCGTATCCGATATTGTTTGACTCATCGACACTCTGACAAAGCAGTTTGTAATCCCAAGTTGCATTGTGTGTCGGTGTCTATTGCTTGTAAGTGATGGCCCGTGAAGATTGGGTTGAGATCTTACTAGAATCTTGGAAGCGCTTGGCTTAGCTTGCTTCCCAGGGGCAAGAATGAGACTGATATCCCGGCGGTCAACCAATTCGAGGAGGTCCTTGGACCAGGAGGTCGGTGGGTGCGGTTGGCACAATGAAATGGCATCACGTAAGGGTGCAAGAATAGCCTCCGGGAGGGTATCAAGAATTAATGGTGTAATTCCGGCATCCCTCATAGCTTCCACCATCTGGACTGCGCTTGTGCTTGGTTTCATATATTTGAAAAATTGCTTAAACATAAGCGTTCTAGGGAGAATAAACTCCCATCGCCTGTCCTGTGACTTTTCCGCTTCGGACAATTGGGAGCCAGCATAATAAATATCCGCTGGGGTGATGTAAGGAACCCTCCGTTCTCCGGTGAGTCGTGATTGAATCCAGTTGACAACATCTGGCCTTACAGGTGGCTGAGGGACTGCAGGCCTCAGGTTGAGATCTGATCTAATGGTTAGCTTTGTATCACAAAGACGGTTCACGAACATACCGGAATCATGACGTTGATCAACGTCTTCTTGTATACCCGCCTCGTATATAGCAATAAAGCTGGGCCACCTGAGCCATCGAGCTATTTGACACATAATGACTCGAAGATCAGCACGGCCAGGAGATCTGAACTCTGGCGTCATGATATCGAGTTTTTCTTCCTCAAGAAGTAGGTGCAAACCCATAAACACATCTACAGCAACCTTGCGGCGGCTTTCTATGCTTTTGCCAAGTGAGGTTGGCATATAACCAGCGGCTCCGAATGCCGTTTCGCCTAGTACAGAGGCCATATACTCTTTGGCCATAGGTATATGTTTCGAAATGAAAGTTGTAGATGGGTTTTCGTCTCCAGAATCATCCCCATCTTCATCCAGCGCCCACTGCCACCCTCCATTCATCATCCAAGTTGGACACCCTAACGAATTTGAAGTCTCGGTTTTTTCCAAGTATCTCCAATCCTCCGATTCTCTAATCGAGCCAAAAGAACCCGAAGGGTGCCTTCTTCTGCGAGGAAGTTGTCGGGTTTTCGGGAAAGGCTTTGTGTCAGTTCGGCCGAGACTCAGAAACAAAGATAAAAGGAGTACGGTCATCGCAGACCATTCAATGTCAGTATTTGTCTCGCCATGGCCTCCTATCCACTGCATACAATGAAGCCAGCCAGCGAAGATGTGTTCACCAAGTGCATGAGGCAGAATGCTACGACAAACGTCCAGGACTCTTCGAACGTGAGGTGACCGCGGCTCGAGCTGAATACGGAGCTCATGGAGCCGACCTTCAGCATCGACAACATCAACAATGCCACCTTGTCGCGGATGCCGTACACCAACAATGCTGCCATTACTGAGGTCAATAACCTCGGACTTTCTCTGGGTAACATCGCGGTCCACAACTCTGCCACGATATTGCAAACTCCTAGTGTTATCGACAAAGAGTAGTGAAAGCGATATTTTTGTAAGGACGCTCCACGGTGCCTGGGTACTTAGTTCGTGCCGGCCATCCATTGATTCCGACAGGATTAGAATCGCAGAATGGTCACCGTCCATTAGCTTGCAAGAGTCAACGACATTTTGGGCATGTCGTCTGTCAACAACAGTGGCTACGACGGTTGTACCATCGGGTATGTTCTTCTTCCCTTGTTTGGTGGCCATATTAGTTCCACGCTGAATGCCCAGCTCCAATGTGAGAAGTTGAAGACGTCTCTCGGTAGCATCCTGAATCCCAATAAGAAGTTGACTTTGGTCATGCCCATCGATTGCAAATGGGGGAGCCACCAAGATGAAGACCTTGGTTTTGGTGCGGGCTGGCTGATCCGAGTATCGAACATTGGAGTTATTCATAGGTACGCTGTGAAGTTTAGTAAACAGTATTTCATGCTGTAGCCCATCAAACTCATGATCATCTAGACCCATATTGTGAAACCCTTCGTCAAGGCCTTCATAGAAAGGTGCCGCTAACAGACTGCTCAGACTAGGATGTATCTGATGGGCATAGTTGGCACTAAGGCGTGCATGGCTTCCTTGTGATTCATGCCTCCTAGGCCCGGCATGACTGGATAATAGTGGCTGATCTGGCAATATGGCTCTTTCATGCGACGCAGACAAGTCAGCTCTCGCCAACATGGAGCTGACCCTACGAGAACTCCTCCGCGCAACACCACTGCCTTCCTTGTCTTGCTGTTCTAAGGATGACACAAGGTCAATCATGGGCTTTTCAAGGCGCTCACTCTTTCTCGGCCGCTTTCCTGGAAGAGGTGCTCCAAAGCTTTCTCGCAGGTTGGGCTGGACAGGTGTGCCAGGAGTACTAGCAAAAGCAGGAGGCATGGAACTACGACGCCGGGCAGTCTTTGATTTAGCATCTTTCTGTCGAGCAAGAAAACGGTCTTCATGCTGCAGGTACGTGAGGCGCCAGACAGTGTATTCACTAGTTTCGCGGTTGATTGTCACCGCAATGATCAGAGGTTGACTTAAATCTTGTGTCAAAGCGCCAGGAATTTTGATCTCTTCCACATGGAGAACTTCTTCAGCTGAATCGAGGAATGTCAGCTTCTTAGCTGCTGTCTGCCTTAAGCTTTTGCCATTTTGGGGCTCCTGGTTGGTAACGACCAGTCCCAATTCCAACAGCGGGTCGGTCAATGAAACAAGGCGTGGCCAACGGGACTCAGGTTGTTCCAGCGGAGCTTCCCAAAGGTTATCTAAAGTTGAGCTCAGACGAAGTGGAAGTGCTTTCGGTTTTCCGAGACCTTCCACAGAAAACGCGGTCAGTTGAGAGCTATTGAATGCCGTCAACTGCGAAGAGACGAAGGAATTCGGTGGCACTCGGGGGAACTTGAAGGAGATTGGCGCAACACTTTCAGGTTTTTGCTTTCGTTGAATGATGACTCCAACTGGGCCTGCGAATGCTGTTTCAACTTCGAATGGCATGTGCACAATATGGCTGGTGCCAGAGAGGAAATATATGTGCGCCTGAGTCTTGAGGAAGACAACCAACGCTTTAGACAAAGCCGGTCTCTGATCTGATTGTGCTTCTTCCTCTTGTGTAGATTTGTCGTCTTTGGAAGCCGGGAAGTATGCTAGGAGAGCCTGTACGACAGGTTCTTTTTCGAGTTCGAATCTGAAGGTCTTTCGAAATATTCCACCTCGACACCATACGACGCAGTGTTCCGTTGAAAGGATTTCATCTTCGAGATCCCCATCGAACCGATCTTCTGTTGAAATATCCCATGTATAGGAAGTTGGTGGTGGATTCGGCGGTAACAATTGTTCGTTGATGGCATGTTGAAGTCCTGAGGGCTGGTGCAACCCCAGGGACTTCACCGTCGCCATGTTTCAATGCCCGCCATAAGCTGCTTCAGCGCGTCGAGAAACAAGTGATCCTTCAAGGAGTTACTAATGGTATCTCGAGAAAAGAATTATGGTCGGCCGTCTCTTTGTGAGAGGGAGAGATTTGAATATGTTTTGCTGCGCGTCAAGATATTGTTTACTTTATGTTGGATCTGTCAGTGGGTGGTGCACGGCGCCCCGCGAAAGTGCACTGGTCCTGCCTACCTATCATGAGTGCTAAGTTGTATGGTGGGGCTACCTAGGCGCGAATAACCCTTCAGTTCTTGGCGCGTCTACCTTAGTACTTAGGTAGAATCGAAGCTCTTTTAAAGCTCCACTGCCTCGTGACGTAGCTGTAAGGTACAAGGTACCTCTACCGACCCTTTGCGCATCGGACCTTTGGAAGCTGCCATAGCTTTGGTCAGGGCTCCCAACAACTACTTAAAACAGCCCAGCAACTTTCCAGCACATACCAACGCTCTCGTTCTGGGTTTTGTAACTTTCCAGAATGATATCATTGTTGTCATTGCAATGACGGAGCAGTCACCGCAACCGAGCCATGAGTTGGCGCGCGATACCGATTCCCAGCAGCCGGAACATGAGCCACCAGTAGACGCCAACGAAACGTTCCCGCCCGTAGAAAACAAAGCTCTCGAGGATGTTGCACGCGAGACAGGTGGTGAATCAAGAGGTGCGATGGGTAAGGAAGGGATTACCGAGGCAAGAGACGTAAAGAATGAGGAAAGCAATGATAAAAAGTCGGGACATGATGAAAACAATGGAGAAGAGGAGGAAGACGATGACGATGATGACGAGGACGATGAAGATGAAGAGGACGATGATGAAGACGAAGAGGATGAGGAACCAAGACTCAAATATGCTCGGTTAACTCAACACCTTAACGGAGTGTATCGAAACGGCGATGCAACTAGCGCGTTTCTTGTCGCGGGAGATAAAATGGTAGGTTGCGTTTGTTTCGGGGCATATCAGCTTGCTAACGTCTTTCCAGATAGTTGGAACGCATAACGGCAATATCGTAAGTCTTGGACAGGCGGTCAACACGGCTCTCACTAATTCCGGGCCAGCACATTGTTCAGCTCCCCATGTTCCAATCCATGAGAGTATACCATGCGCACTCGGCCTCAGTTACCTCTATATCGATATCTCCGTACCCTCCTCCATTGCCAACCGAGAAGAAGTCAGAGGCAGCGCCAAGGCATACGGCATCCAGCAACGCTACTGTCTCTTCTGGTCGCCAGGCCGATGCATCTCCGGCGGCAGCTTCCAGAAGACCCCGCGAAGCGTCACAAATGCCTAGGACGCCGTCTAACGATATTTATGTAGCGACTTCCTCTTTGGATGGCAACGTATGTGTGCAGTCTCTTATTGATATGAAAGATGTCCAGTTACGAAACTTTGCCCGGCCCGTCCAAGCTGTGGCTCTGTCGCCAGAATTCAAGACAGATCGTACCTATTTGTCAGGAGGACTTGCTGGCCAGCTCATTCTTACGGCCGGAGGTGGTCCGGGTCGCAGTACCTCGACAACAACTGGGACTGCTGCGGCCACAGCTTCCGGCTGGCTGGGCAGTATGGGACTTGGCGGCAATAGTGGCAAAGACACTATCTTACACTCTGGCGAAGGAACTATCAGCACTATTAAATGGTCCTTGTCTGGGAAATACGTGGTCTGGCTCAACGAACATGGAATCAAAATTATGCGGTCAAAGCTCCACCTCGAGAACGCAGATACAGAAGATGCATGGAAACGAGTTGGGCACATTGATCGCCCACAAACTGATGAATGGGAAACCATGGCAAGTGTGTGGAAAGGCCGCGTTGAATGGATCGATGAACAAGCTGTTGAAGTGGATGAATTTGACCAGAGCACTGCTGATAAAGAGATATCTCCTACTGCACACAAGCTCAGAGAACAGGCTGCAATGGGCAAGAAGAGTATTGAGCGGTTGCTTGTAGGTTGGGGTGGGACGATATGGATCATACACGTCCATCCAGGAGGCGTCGGAGTCGGCCGACACGCCGGCGAGAAGACTATTGGGCGAGCTGAAATTGTTAAAATGTAGGTTTTGCTGTAAATGTGGCCTCCTTAGGTTAAAGCTGACCTGAAACAGACTTCGGATGGATTGCATCATTTCCGGTATTTCGTTATATACCCACAACCTTTTGTTAGTACTTGCGTATTGCTTGCCTGATGACGAGGACGAGGACGAGGATTCCGGATCGGTTTCAAACTCGCCAGACAAAAAGCATAAATCCAAGCCTTCAACAGGAAGCGAGCCCTCTGGCGGTGTTCGCCGTCGTCAGAATAACCAGCCTCCTGAACTCCGCCTTATCGATCTTAACTCCCAGGCCGAAGCCGACAAAGACAGCCTGAGCGTCAGTCGTTATGAGAGGTTGTCATCGGGTGATTACCACTTAGGCGTATTGCCTGCACGCAATGCTGCGTCTGCAATCGCTTCATCTCGGGGCGCTCTGGAGGCGATAGCTGGGATCGGCACAGATATGTGGAATGCGGCCATCAACCCTCGCTCCCTATTCAGCTCCGGAGCTAGCATTCATAGCCGAGGGAGCGGTGATGATTCTAGTCTCATAGGGAGTACGGCAGGAACGATTCGACCTGGGACCAATCAAAGACTTTCCCCCAGCGTCCATTCTGGTCTTGTCAAACCAGGCGTGAAGATCTTCATACATAGTCCGTATGACTGCATCCTCGCGACCAGACGAGATCTGAGTGATCATTTGGGATGGCTTCTAGAGCGCCAGCACTACCAGCGTGCCTGGGAGTTACTCGATGAACACCCGGAGATCATGGCACCGCTAAACGAAAGGGCTAATGATGGTACTCCTTCAACTCCAACACTGAACCAAGAGCCTAGTGACGATTTCAATGATGATGAATCTGTCGTCGATTCGCAACTGCGAGATTTTTATTCTTCGGCAGAGCGAGAGAAAAGGCGTATTGGAGAACTCTGGATACAGGAGCTCATTGAAGAGAACAACTGGGCATCTGCTGGTCAAGTGTGTGGTCAGGTGCTCAAGACGCCGGACAGATGGGAGAAATGGGTTTGGACATTTGCTGGTGCGAAGAAGTTCGATGCTATTACGGACTACATTCCTACAGAACCCATGCATCCGCCCCTTCCTTCGACTATTTATGAAGTTGTACTTGGCCATTATATTCAAAACGACAAACCGAGGTTTAGGGAGCTTTTGGATCGTTGGTCACCTGAGCTTTTCGACATAAAAACAATTACAACTGCGCTGGAGAATCAGCTCAAGTATCGAGACGTGCGTGAAGACAGCATCGATGAAGGGGAAAGGGGGCGGGACTGGAGGATTGTAATAGAAAGCTTGGCAAGGTTACACGAGGCCAACGGACGACATCGCGAGGCTCTCAAATGCTACATCAAGCTCCATGATGCGGATTCGGCTTTTAGGTTGATTAGAGACAACCACCTTGCAGAAGCTGTTGAAGACGATATTCCAAGCTTCATTGGCCTCAGAGTTCCACCAGGTAAAGTCAATGAAATGACAGCAGAGGAGCTAGATGAAGCGACATCAGAAGCAATCACACTGCTCGTTGATGAAGCTCAGCATGGTCTGCTGCGCCCTGATATTGTGGTGGAGCAACTACTCTCGAAGAAGCTCAACCTGTACATATACTTCTATTTTCGAGGTTTGTGGAAGGGCGATGGTATCCAGGAGCATAGTGGAGAGAATGTGGACCGGCTGGTGATGGACAGTCAATCTCTGGTTGACAACTTCGCGGATTTGGCTGTCCATCTGTTTGCGACCTTCGACCGGGCGTTGCTCATGCAATACCTGAAGACTTCAGTCTCCTATACATTTGAAAAGGTAACCCGACGCCTAAAAAAAAGCCACATTGCGTTCTAGCTACTAACTCCGTGTAGGCTGTTCAAGAGTGTGAGACGTTCTCATACTACGACGAGCTCGTGTTTCTATACTCTAAAACGGGCCAAATGAAACGAGCTCTCTACCTCATCATCGATCGTCTAAAGAATGTTCACAAAGCAATCGAGTTTGCTAAAGAACAGGACGACCCTGACCTGTGGGAAGACCTCCTTAAATATAGCATGGACAAGCCCAGCTTCATTCGAGGTCTGCTTGAGCAGGTCGGTACGGCCATCAACCCAATTACTGTAGTGCAGCGAATTCCCGAGGGACTTGAGATTGAGGGTCTCAGGGAAGGGCTTACGCACATGATGAAGGAACACGAGATCCAGTACAGCATTAGCTCGGGCGTTGCACGAGTCCTTCGCAGTGAGGTTGCCACGGCGCAGAACGAGCTTCGAGCTGGTCAGCGTAAGGGTATCAAGTTCGAAGTAGTCATTCAGGAACAGGAACATGTGGACATACATGTTAAGGATGTTTCCACGGACCCCGACAATCCAGAACCCAACATTTCTCACCCATCTACGGCTCATGATCACAGAGTGCCGAAACCGGGACACTGCGCAAGGTGTCATGAGCCATTTACAGAGTTCGAGATGGAAACATTAGTTGGATATGCTTGCGGGCATGTTTTCCATGTGAGTCATCTCTTGCAGATGTTGCATGGGAACAAGAAAGTGGATGTTGATTTAGGCAATGGCTCTGAGGAGGGAAGTCGGTACTCCATAGGCATGAAGGTGATGAGAGCGCGATTACTGAAGGATAAGATGAAAGGGGGCTGCCCTGTATGTCATGTCAAAGAGTAAAGATATCAGGCATCAAGGGTGTTTATACGTGACGGCGCACTGAGGTCAGTCTTAGCACACTAGTTTGGATAGCTTAACGGCGTACAATAAAGACACATATGATAGTAGCAAATCCGAGTTCTTTTCAGAGTACCTAGGTACAGCAGAACGCGTATTAAGTCCCTCACTCAGTTCCGACAAGCCAGAAAATCCATCACAATCCTGTACGTGCCATCATTCTACGTGCTGCAGGCTCTTAAACCAACGACCATTGGTATTTCGATGTCA